CTGAAAATAGTTATCTTTTAGATCAACTAAAGATAGAGAAAGAAAGATATTGTTTTACTTTGATTTATTCCTTTTCTTATTGTTTAATTTTGAGTTCTTTGTATACTCTGGATATTAGGGCTCTATCTGAAGTGTGAGGAGTAAAAATTTGTTCCCATGATGTAGGCTCCCTATTTACCTCTTTTATTGTTTCTCTTGCTGAGAGAAAACTTTTCAGTTTAAGTAAGTCCCATTTGTTGATTTTTGTTATCAACTTTTGTGCTATGGGTGTCCTATTAAGGAATTTGGAGCCCGACCCTACAATATGTAGATCGGAGCCAACTTTTTCTTCTATCAGACACAGAGTCTCTGATTTGATATCTAGCTCCTTGATCCACTTTGAGTTAACTTTTGTGCATGGCGAGAGGAGGGGATTCAGTTTCATTTTGTTGCATATGGATTTCCAGTTTTCCCAGCACCATTTGTTGAAGATGCTATCCTCCCTCCATTGCATGCTTTTAGCTCCTTTATCAAATATAAGATAGTTGTAGCTTTGTGGATTAGTCTCTGTGTCCTCTATTCTGTACCATTGGTCCACCCTCCTGTTTTGGTACCAGTACCATGCTGTTTTTGTTACTATTGCTCTGTAATATAGTTTTAAGTCTGGTATCGCTATACCGCCTGATTCGCACTTCCTACTTAGAATTGCTTTTGCTATTCTGGGTCTTTTATTTTTCCATGTTTTAGTTAGCTTTTTCATTGCTGAAACCAAAAGATGTCACAAGAACAACTTAAAAGAAGAAAAGTTTGTTTGGGCTCAGTTCCCCAGGTTCAGTCCATGACTGGTCAATGCCATTGCTCTAAGCCAAGATGAGACAGAGAGAAGCATCTCCGAACATGACAACCAGGAAGTAGAGATAGAGCACTCAACTCGCTAGGGATAAAACATATGCTCCAAAGGTACATACCCATTGACCTATTTCCTCCAGCCACAAGCTACCTGCCTACAGTTATCACCCAGTTAATCCATACCAGGGGATTAACTCATTGATCCGAGTACAGCTCTCATAATCTAATCATTTCACCCCTGAACATTCTTGCATTGTCTCACACATGAGCTTTCGCGGAACACCACATACCCAAATCATAACAAGACCCAACTTTTCAACTTATCTCATTTATTTTCTTTTTGAAGAATTTCTTGAACATTTTTTTTTTTTTTCCAAAATTTTTTTAGCAATGAAATCCCTCCATTTTTTTTTTTTTTTTTTTTTTTTTTTTTTTTTTTTGTGGGACAGTCTTACTTATTTTGTAATTTCTGATGGAAATTTCACTGGTTATGAAAATTTATGTTGGCTGTTTTTTCCTTTCATTCTTTCAAAAATTTGAAATCCCAGGCTACTGTTCTTGCATGTTTTCTAAAGACAAAGCTGCTATAATTTGTGTCCTTATTCCTCTGTGTGTGTGTGTTTTTATGTGGTTTCCTTCAAGATTTTGATTTCCTGCAATTTGAATATGATATGCCTGGTTGTAAGATTTGGTTTTGATCCATTGATATTTAGTGTTTTCTGAGGTTCTTGGACCTGTGGTTTGGTGTCTGTTATTAATTCCGGGAAGTTCTTGGCCATAATTGCTTTAGATATTTTTTTGTCCTGTTCTGTTTCTTATTACTATTACACAAATGTTATACTTTCTGATATTGTCCTAATATTTGATTTCTAGCACTTCCTTTTTTATTCTTTTTTATAGTTTCCATCTCTCTATTGACATTACATATCATTATTGCATATTGTGTAATTTTCTCATGACATCTGTTTACATAAAATCATGGCTATTTTAAATCACCTGTCTGATAATACTAACACCTGCATTATTTATACTGGAGTCTAGTTATAATGATTGCTTTGTCTCTTTAGACTGCTTTTTCTTGCCTTTTGTATGTCTTATAATTTTTTTGTTGTTGAAAACCAGATATGTTGTATTGGATAATAGGTACTAAGACAAAATATTCTTATGTTAATTTTGCAGATGTTGTATTGGATAATAGGTACTAAGACAAAACATTTTTATGTTAATTTTGCAGGAAATTTTGCAATATTAATTCTTTATCCTGCTATAACTAAGGAGAATACATTTTCTTTTTTGGTTTTGGATTGGATTTCCTTTTGTATTTCTCCTTAGACAAGGTGTCTAATAGCTTTTTGCCCTTAATCTGATATAAAAAGCTATTGTTTTACTGGAGACTTGTAGGTGTATTGTATATTGTGGAAGAGGGGGACATGCAAAAATGTTCTAAGTTTTGGTCTCTTTCTGTTTTTCCTCCAGGGATTTAGCTTTCTTTCCACTATTCCCTATTGTTTTCCTTCACTGTGGCATTTCCAATCTATTTCTTGATGACTATTGATTTTTTCCCCTCTTAAGTGAGACAGGAAAGTGGGCTGGAGAAAAAGAGACTCTTCCTACTGGAGAGTAGTTCTGCATTAGGATTTGGAAGGGTTTCACATTGGCTATTCTTTTCCCTAAACTCCAATACATAGGGATGTTTCTTGGATCCTTAGATCCTCCCTGTGAGAACCTTTTGGCACTCCTGGAGGGAAAGTATGCATGTGTGCCTTTCATACCAGTGGCTACCAGGAATTTCTACCTTAGCCCACACTCATATTTCAGAAAGTCATCAAAATTACTGTCTATGTGATTCTATCAGTTGGTGGCATCCAGCAGCTTCTGTTCCATCAGGTTTCAGGTTCTCTCAGAATGCGCTATCTCTGTAGCTTTGAAGTGGTTCTTCTTTTCTGTTTCTGATAGATCCAGAAAAGTCATTGATTCCATTTATCCAGTTTTTCTAATTGGAAGGATAGGAGTAGAAACTTCTAAATTCTTTACATATCAGAGCTGAACAAAATGATATTTTCTACTATTGGGAACACAGGAAGTAGTAACAGTGATGACTGCATTGTATCCTTGTATGAGTTTGGGTGATTGAAATTAAACAAGGACTCTGGTATAAACTATACTCATATACAATAATTACTTTGGGATCTATTTTGGCAGGAGGTTTTTGAGAAGTGTGTGGTTCATGCTAATAAAGGTATGACTTGAGAAAAATAGGCCAATACAGCCAGAAAAGCTTGACTGGAGAGGAGGGACCCACAATCAGTGGTAACTACAGCTATAAATATTAGTTTATGGCCCAATTAATGTTATATATATATATATAAACTCTTTTATTCTGTAGTCAGTATGGAGCCACTAAAAGATTTTTAAAGGATAATAGCAAAAATGTGAACAATTAACTCAGCAATATAATTGATAAAGTGAAAGACCACAGGGCTAATAGTGTCAAACTCAAGATTTGGTATCTGAAGAGAAAAAGAAGTTGGGCATGGTGGCACATGCCTGTAATCCCCATGGCTCAGAGAGACTGAGGTAGAAGGATCCAAATTCAAAGCTAGCCTCAGCAATTTAGGAAGGCCCTAAGCAATTTAGCAAGACCCTGTCTCAAAATAGAAAATAAAAAGGGATAGGGATATAGTTCAGTAGTTAAGCATCTCTGGGTTCAACCCCAGTAAAAAAAAAAGAAAGAATATAAACCAAGGAAAACCATAACATCTCACTCATGAAAAAATTTGAAAGGTGAAGTCCAAGGAGTCTGGCTTGGAATACGCTCAGTTCAAGATATAACTAGGAGTCACAACAGAATATTGAATTAGAGCCGGGCATGGTGGCACATGCCTGTAATCCCAGCAGCTTGGGAGGCTGAGGCAGGAGGATCGTGAGTTCAAAGCCAGCCTCAGCAAAATCGAGGTGCTAAGCAACTCAGTGAGACCCTGTCTCTAATAAAAAATAGGGCTAGGAATGTGGCCTAGTGGATAAGCATCTCTGGTACAATATATATATATATATATATATATATATAAATAATATTAGTTAGTTAGTTAGAGATTAGATCTGAGAGTTATCCACATGGAGGTTATAGTCCAAACCTCGAACACAGATGTGATTTTGGGGGGTAGAATAAGAACTAGGGTGAGAACCTTTGGGGTAAATTTAAGGATAAAGAAGAAAATAAAAGTCAACAGTAGGAAAATCCAGAAACATGAGTAAAACCAGGACAGGATGTAAAGGAAACTAAGGTAGGATATGGTTCTTTTTTCCTCCAACTTATATCTGTTTTGTAAGAACAGACCCTCAATTGTCCAAATCCAAGTCCTGACAGGAAAACAGCTTCCTGGAAAGCTTGGCATGAATGTCTTGCTTCTTGTTGAGTTTAAAAGGAATTCCTCTGGAATGAAATTATGGCATTTGCTGGTAACTGGATGGGACTAGAGACTATCATGCTAAGTAAAATAACCCAATCCCCAAACATCAAAGGCCAAATGTTCTCTCTGATTTGTGGATGATAATCCAAAACATGGAAGTTTGGGGAGGGGAATAATAGATATAGATCGGACTAGACAAAGGGTAAGGAAGGGGAGGAGAAAAGAAAAGACAGAATTAATTAGTCATAACTTTCCTAGCCTTGTATTTGCATACATCACCAGGGCAACTCCACATCATGTATGACCGCCACAGTGGGAACCTAATAGAATAAGTTATACTTTATTTATGTATATTCTGCCAAAATATATGCTACTGTCATGTATAACTAATTAAAAAAAAAAAAACAGGCATTCTTCTTTTGGTAGAAAGAGATGTAAATGTTCCACAGGAAATAGTATTTATCAGTTAAGTGTCTACATTTATGAGATAATGTCCCATGCTTGGAATCCAATCAGGTAGGAACAATTTGTGTTGGCCACAAAATTATGATAGCTGAATATAGTACACAAAATTACCATTATCACAGAGGTAACTGCAAATGACTTAATCTTGCCTTCTTCAAATCAACATATAACCATCATGATATATGTATTTATTCAGATATTTATGTTTTACACTTGGCATCCAGTAGCCTATTTCTCACTAAGACTGCACATAATGTTAAGAAGAAATAAATGTCTTTTATAATAAGGCAATTTTCATCAAGTTTGTGAAATGTAATTTTATTAATTAACAGAAGGGTGTTCTTGCCAGACACAGTCTCCAAATAAATACAATCCCATCATTAAAGCTCACAAATACACAGTTTTCCAGGGTACAATACAAAATCAATGTTGATGATTTCTTACTTGTATTTTCTAAAAATCTAAGAAAGACTGTGAACAATTTCTAAATAATTATCTTGCATAAAGATAAAGTATGGCATAATTATTTCATAGATTTTGGAATGATAATTTAAGATGACTTTTGCTTTTTAAAAAGATATTAAGATCTATCACAAATCAAATCACACCCTCTGCAACATTACACCATGGAATTGTACCCAATCAAAAATAAAAGCAAAGTGGCTGAAGAAGGCTGTATTCTTTCTTACCAACATTACACTAATTTCTATTTTTGGCATGAATTATTAACCTTTTCCATCAGTAGGAAAATGTGCTCTGCAAACTCTCGGATGGCACCTCGGCCACCATTACATTTGCAAATATATCCAACAGCCTTCTGAGCCGAAGAACAGGCATCAGCAGGAACACCATTTAGGCCTGCTCTCTTCAAGCACTCTTCATCAGACACTTCATTTCCTATCAAGTAAAATAAATACTAATTGAACATTTAGTGAGACATAGGATATTCTAGCTAAAAATGCAAACAAGTGAGAATTGGTAACTTTAGTTAAGACCTTAGGAATTATGTAAAGATTAGACAGAGCAATGAATCTTTTAAAGGGTAACTGAGATCTAAGGTTTATCGTAAGCAATTAAAAAGAAACTCTTATCAGGGACAGGGAGAAACTAGAGTATTCTTTCTGCCTGCCATAAACATAATTATAAGAAATTCTATATATGACAAATTATTTCAACATTTTATGAAGGAAAACTTCAACCATATGTAAGAAATCTAAGGTTATACTGAATTATTATCAGTGTTTTGTAATCACTTATTAATTATTTTTTTCTATTCCCTCCTCCTAGTTTCCTTGGGCAGAGGAAAAGGAAGGAATTCCTAGAAATATTTTACCCCAAAACTCTTTAGCAGTTATCTCCAAAAGCTAAATATATTTCGTGACATATTATCAAGCTCACAAAATTGACAGTAATTCCTCAATATCATCTCATAACCATGTTCAAATATCTCCAATTATCTCAAAATTGGTTTTTTATGCTTCATTTTTTTTTAATTTAGGAGTCAAATAAGGCCCACATAATGCATTTTTGTTAATGTGTATCTTTAGCCTCTTTTAATCTGTAATAGTTCTTTTGATTTGTATCCATATATATTGAAGAATTAGCATTTTCATCAAAGAATTAAATACCAAATCACACTGACATGACTACATCATTTCTCTCCCTCTCTTGCTTCTTCTATCTTCTCCCTCTTACCCCAATCCCACTTTTTAGGTAAAATAAATTTTACAACTCCCAGAACTTTAGATTCACCATTCTGAGTTTAATTATTACTATATTGTAGACAAAACAGTACTAATATAACTTTGCTCTATATTCACTGAAATATTTTTCTTTTGTTATAAAATATACTGAAATTTGAGCTGTTTTCACTGAAAGATGATGAAAAATAAAGTCAGTATTTTTTTGTGTAATTCAGTCTTTAAACTTTGCAAGGAAATTTTACTTATGAAAGTGTTGGCTATGTATAACTATAAACCCTAATTTAAAAAAAAAAAGTGTTGGTATTTTTGCATCAAACCCAGGGCGCTTTACCGTGGAGCTACATCCCTAGCTCTTTGTATTTTAAGATAGGGTCTCACTAAGTTGCTGAGGCTTCCCCAATTTAAAACTTTGGTCAGCAGTGCAAGAAAGCTGCTATTTCCCTATAATCAAACTAATCTAGGGAATTTTCTTTACTATTATTCTATTTCGTGAAAAATAAATAAATCCTGGTCCCTTTTACTAAAGTTGTATAAAAGACACCAACCAAGATATGCCACTTCTTTCCAGCACAGGCCCATTTCTTTTCTCCACTCATCTACAAGGGCCAGTTTGTCTGATACGCTGACTTCCATTTTGCAATCCAGCTGTAAGGAAGAGAGTGTCTCCTGGGAACAGTCCCTTTCTGAGATGAATCTCACCTGAAATGAATAAAACCCAAAACCAAACAAACAAAAAGACAAAACGTTTAGGAAAAATCAGAAAGGAAACAGAAATCTTTCATAATAAAATAAGGCCTTGTAAATAAGCTATCACAGATGAGTAGTCTTTTGACCTTCTGAAGGACTAATTATAGTAAAGTCAACTGTCATTTGAAAATGATGATACTTTAAAACAAAGCTTATTTTATTTCTAAAAGCCCAACAAAGGCAACAGTGTAGAGGATTCTACCCACAGGTACAAAATACAATACACACTGTGTGATACTGATCTAACATTTTCTGGTCCTTCAATTTATTAAGAGAAAAGTACATAATCTCTCTTGTGCTGCTTAGTAACACATATTTAAGAATTCTAGTGAATTATACTTGGCCTTCATTTAAAAAAAATATAAAGACTAAGTTGTTTCTAATTAAAAATTTCATTCATAAAAAATACTACATTTTTGAATGCAAAGTATAATTTGCTTGACTCCTAGGAGGGACCAGCAGCAAGTTCTGGTAGTGTGCTGCCTGGAATGGGCCAGCTGCAGCCTGCATGCAGGTGTGTTCAGGGCTCCTTGAGGGCAGGAGAAATGACAGGCTGCTGGCTGTTGGAGGATGGAGGGGACTTAGGGAGGAGCTGACTTCCTTGAAGTAACATATTTCAGAGGCCAAAAATAAAGGTGTCTGAAATCCTGCTTAAAAAAAAAAAAAAGAATATGCTACATTTTAAAAATCCACAAGATATCTGCCCTTTTCTAAATGCCAAAACTAGTTAGTTAGGAAATATTTCTTGTTCCAAGATCCTGTGGCAATTTCTAATAATCTAGTTAGCACTTATTTAAAAGCAGTATATTTACACTTACTGAATAAATTACACTCACTGAATAAATAAAAAAATATTATTTGATGATTAAAAAAATCTCAATTTTACTCATCCAAAAATAAAGTGTGATAATTTTCTAGGCATGTGAGGTTAAACTTAAGATATTTTAATAATTAATACTAAAAATTTACATCTCTTAATTCCTTGTATATTCTTTAACCCTGAATCAAAATCTTATAAAATAATGCTACATTCAGGGAGCACATACCTCAATACCACTTTTCTTTAATAAACTTATCCCAATAGCATCTTTTACATCATAAGATATTATTTCTTTTTGGTCTCCTGATACATAAATGTGGCCATTGGTGAGACATCCATCAATATTGCATACCAAAAGTTTTATCTCCTTAAACTTCTCTTTGCCAAAATAGCCATATCTAAAAGAAACCAAAATAGACCTATGAGTACAAATGCAGTACTAATCACTCCCTCTCATCTGGCCAGCACCAGTAACTGAATCCTCATGCTCCATTCAATTATTCAAGTATTACTCTTCAAATTTACTTAACATATAATATACACTTTGACTTACAGTTCAAGACCTATACACAGTGTGTTCTAACCAGATTATGTGTTTCTAAGTTTATTGAACAAGTCATCTAAAGGCATATTTTATGCATATATCTTTCCCACATGAGCAAACTAGTTCCAGAGACCCTAAGATGTTTGGAGTATTAGAAGTCGATGTCTAGATGCATAATTAAACATCATCTAGTAAAAATAATTTTAGGCTCTAGTACAAAGGTTATCCAAGTTTGTTTTTTTTTTTTTTTTTACCTTAATACTCTTTGCTCTGCAATAGGCCAATCAATATCCACATCTATATCCACACTGTGTTCAGCGCGCATTTCGTAGTATGCCATTTTTCCACCCTAAACACAGTACAAATGTCATGAGTACTGTTTTTAATATGATCACATTAACTGTATTAAAATATAGAACAATGGATTAATTTCTATAGTACTAAGAAAAAGAAATAACCCAGTAAAATAAAAAATATACCACAAATTATTTGGTTTTTTTAGAAAGCAAAGCTCACACAAAACTAATAACCTTTAATATGTAAGTACCCATTTTTCTTCAAAAAGATTTCTATTTTATGATTGAAAAAAGAAATCACAGCCATTCTCCAGGATTGTTACCACAGGGATTTTCTAAAAAATCCCTTAAAATATTCCCCTTTTTTTCTGGAGATCTCTTCCATCATCATTCAAAAGCAATATAAAGGTTTTCAGAACTTCTGTTCCAACTTGCTACTAAGGGGCAGGACAGGGAGTTGTACAGTACTGTTGTACAGTACTGTCTTGGATGACTGAGCCACAGAGGAGAATGGAAAACAGTTTTCCAGATTACATGTGGGCCAAGGCAGGGTCAGATTCTGAGGTATGGGAGTAAGAGGAGGGGCCTTTCTCTGACAGTAATTATTTGAAAGATCAGATCAATTACTAGAAAATTTCATTTTTTCCAGAATTGTTAGTTTTTTTATGAATCTTGTTATAATGAGAAACATTACTTTGCTACACACTTTGGGAAAGGGTTAGGTCAAAGTTCTCCTTAGAAAAGAGTTCATGGAAGATGGTATCTTTCTATGTCAAATTTAATTTTCCTCAATACCTGAACTTAACTGTACAGTCTACTTTTGCCTATGTAGTATCCAGAAGATTGGAAAAAATGCTTTTCCTTTTTTTCTTCAGAGCACAAGTCATATTAGAATTTTTACTGTAGAGTGATGAGGCTTTTCTTTTTTTTTTTTTTTTTAATTGGCGCTGGGGATTGAAATCAGAGCCTCACCTATGTGCTTTACTCTCAGTCCCCAACCCCTTTTTAATGCTATTTTTTTTTTTTAGTAACATAAGGAAGGACCTAGATCTAAAGCCTGACAGTCCCACTGACTAGCTATTCTGCCTTGAGTTAATTACTTCACTTTTGAGAACTAAAGTTTCCTTCTAGGTAAAACTGGTATAGAAATGTTTACTTCATTCAGTTGTTGTGCAGATTACATAAATTATGAACATTTTACTTGGTACATTTAAGTGGTACATAAATAACAGCTATTAAAATTAACCAATTTACAAATATATGGTGCAACAATGTAGGACCCAAAATGAGACAGACATTCAATCTCCATGTTTTAAAATGAGAGCAATGAGTCAGAACAGATAAAAATGATATATTCAAGGTTAAGCTCATTAGAATGTGGTGTTCTTGACTTCCAGGCTTGTCTTTTTTCACATCTACTACATTGGTTATTTTCTCTTTTTAAAGTAATAGAAATTATTCATCTGTACAGCCACAACCTACCTAACAGTACCATAAACATGTATTACAAACAATTCTGAATGGAATCATGTGAATATCAGGACACATGTAAACATTCAGTACTTGATTCATTTTTTAAATTGTTTTTAGTTGTTGATGGACCTTTATTTTATTCATTTTATTTATATGTGGTGCTGAGAATCGAACCCAGTGCCTCACAGATGTGAGGTAAGTGCTATACCACTAAGCTACAACCCCAGCCCACTTGATTCATTTTTTTTATCTTAATATTATAGTTGGAACAGAATTCCTTTTATATTTACTAAATAGACTCCAAATATCACTTTGGGGGAAAATCTGCAGAATAAATGCGGTAAAGGATAAATCTTGTCAGCTATTGCCTTTCCTCTGGGGGATGCTACTTTCTTTTAGCAACCATGCCAGACTTCTTCCCTGGAATTCAATGTGTTCATATGAAAGGGTTTGAAAGGACTTTATAAAATGAATGTACAAACCTGTAAGTAACCCATCTCTATCAAATGTCTTTTAGCAAAATAAAATGAGCCATTTTCATATAATTCTCCATCCCAGTCTTGTCGACGAGGTCGTTTAGCTGGATTCAAATTCAGAGGCTCAGTCACTTCACAAACTAAAAACAAAAAGCTATAGTCAGTCCATATTGCTTTGGATACAGAAAGTGTTCATTTGGTAACTTAAAAAAATAAAAATTAAAATGAACTAAAAATATGTCATTTTTTCTTTATCTAGATAATTAACTAAAAGGACTTCTTTAAAGGAACAAAATCTCCAATAATTCTAATGCTATATCTTTGCTTTCTCATAGTAACTGAAAAATATTTTACAAGGAATTGTAGAATAATCAAGGTTTAAGATATTTATACAAACATAATGCTTTGGGAAAACATCAAAGCTGTCTTAAACTAGCTTTAACAAAAACTAAGCTTATCATAAAATACCACATTCAGAATTTTAGCCCTTTATTTTTTATTATTTGCATCTGTGTTATTTATTTAATGTGGTTGAAGAATTACTTTTACAGAATTATTCAGAAAACAGGATTTTTCCCATTAACTTATTGAAACATTTAAATTGATAGAATGTTTATATATTAAATATTTTATTAGTAGTTAAAACTATATGAAACACCTATTCATTATTATGCTTGATAATGAAGACTCAGCAATATCAACATTAATGATGACAACACATTATAAAAAATTAAGCCTTTGGTATTGGTATATAGATATTTCCTTACCTTTTCAATGAATTTCCTCCTAATCTGTATATGTGGATATGTATAGGTATACATCTGAGTGTGTGTGTGTGTGTGTGTGTGTGTGTGTGTGTGTTTAATAGCTGCTAATTCATCAACATCTTTCTTTTGGCTGTAAAGTTTCTAGTAATAACCTCTAGTTCTATGTGTAAAGTTTCTGGTAATAACCTCTATTTACTTCACTAACTAAGCCAATCTCTGTTCTTTTTCATCCATATTTAATATAATCTAGGAAAAAACTCAGCAAATAGATTTTGAATAGCTACAGGTTGTACAGCTTTATAGGCACTGGAGTGAAAAAGAGGAACAAGTCTTTTCTAGAATCAGTGGCTGCTTTCTTCATGGGGCTATTTGCTGAAGAGAGGACAAGGTGAGAGAAGGATCAAGCAGGCAAATGAGACGGCTTCTGCTAGGGTAAGAAAAAATTAGAAGAATTTTCAATGGCCCTGTAAACTTAGTAGCAAACTGTCGTCCAAATTCAAGTCCCATGTTTGGGAATCCTAAATAAAGCCCAATGATTCCCTCTACAAGATTTCTGTTGAGGGTGCTGTGTGGCATGGAAAGCTGGGAATGGGCTGGAAGACAGGGTGCGATCCTGTGGTGCTTAGATCCCAAAGTCCTATTAGCAAAAGTCGGTAGGTAGATATCAACAGTATTTTCAAAATATATCTTCTGATAAAGTACCTGCACTAGGAGGTGAATTGAAATTATAGTTTAAAGATACCCAACTTATATATGAATCAAAGTTATTATGTCCTCTCTGGAGAAAATAAATACTATAGTCTCTTAAGAAGAAGCGGAAATACATTACTCGCAATCAAGAGAAAAACAGTCATAGAAACAGATCTATACATGACCCAGATGCTAGAATTTACAATCCAGGTCTCCTAAATAGCAATTATAAATATGGTTAAAGAAACTACAGAAGATAAAAAACGCATAAAGAGGGAGAAAATTTCAACAGAGAATAGAATCCCTAAAAAGAAAGGGAGAGAGGGGGTTGGGAGGAGAAGGAGAAGGAAGGAAAACAAAAGCACAGTGTCTCCAATAACTCACTGGATAAAATTTATAATGCACCGGACAAGTCAAAAGAAATTATCAATAAACTCAAAAATTTAAAGTCATTAAGAAACTGCTCAAAATCAAGCACAGATAAATAAATAGTAAAGAACTGACCAACAGAATTGCGTACACAACATAATTGCTTAAAATTTCTTAAACCGGAGTCCCAGAAATGTCACAGAAAAAAAAAAATCTGAAGGGATAACAGCTGAGAATTTTTGAGTGATGATAACAGATATATCAACCTATAGATTCAAGAGGTTCAGAGAGCTCCAAAGAAAACTATGAGTCAGAGTGTGGAAAACTAAATAAAAAGAAATTTTTGAGAGCAGTTTGAGGAAAAATGACACATTATTACAGAGAAACAATAGTCAAAATGATGGCTGATTTATTATTAAAAAAAACACAGATGGCAGAAAATAATGAAATATTTTAAAGATGAATCCTCAGAAGAACATCATAAAAATGCAAGTTTAAAATGCTGGAAAAAAAAATCCAAACAAAATTTCATACTTAATGGAAGTATCCTTAAAAATAAAGGCAAATTACATTTTTAGATAAACAAAAGCTGAATTTGTCACCAACAGTTACACACTATATAATAAGGGCAAATATAAGAAATGAAAAATTACAGAAAAATATAAATATGCAGGTGAAAGATAAATGACTATTAACAATTTTAAAAAAGACTGAGTTGTTAAAATATAGCAACAATGTATTATGGCATTAAAATATATGTTGAAATAGACTGCTTCAATAAAAGTACAAAAGAAAGGGCATAAATAGAAATATACTGGTAAGAGGTTTTCAATTATTGATGAAGTTATAAAATACCAGTTCAGGGTAGATTGTAACAAAGGCATGAAGTATATTCTCTAGGGCACTGCTGTACATTAGAAATACAATGTAAGCCACATAAGTAATTTAAAATTTTCTACTAGCTACATTGTGAAGAAATAAAAGGAACCAAACTACTTTTAATAGTACATTTTACTTGGTTGGGTGTGTGGCTCAGTCATAGATTATTTGTCTAGCATGCGGAAGGCCCTGGGTTCTATTCCCGGCACAATAAAAACAACAAACAAACAACAACAACAACAAAAAAAAAAACAGTACATATTATTTAGTCCAATGTATCTAAAATATTACAATTTCAACATGTAATAAATATAAAAACTATTGAGATATTGTAACACTTCTTGGGCTTTCATACCAAATCTAGAAATGCAATATGTATTTTATACTTAGCGCTCACCTGAGTTTGGCACTGTTAACATTTCAAGCATTAACAGTACTAGTGGCTACCAGATAGTGCAGATATAGAGTAACAACTAAAAAAGAATATGTTATAGAAAATAAAATGGAATAATTTTTAAGGTACTGATTAAACTACTAGGACTTTTAGTCATAATGACTATATAAACAAGGAACAAAAGAATCATTAAGAAATGCCAGACTGGGGCTGAGGTTGTGGCTCAGTGGCAGAGTGCTTGTCTAGCCCATGTGAGGCACTGAGTTCGATCCTCAGCACCACATATAAATAAGTAAATAAAATAAAGATATTAATTCCATTTACAACTAAAGAAAAAATTTAAAAAGAAAACAGAAATGCCAGTCTGGTTTAAAATAACTGCCTATCAGTATTCTATTTTATAGTGGTGTCAGGGAATATATCATATGAAAAGACAAAGATATTGTTCCTAACGTGCATTCTTAATGCTCAAAGACATTTCTTCAAATATTCCTGACTTTTTAAAAAAAATATTTATGGATTTTTAAATTTATGAAATTGTCACCTATTCAATCTAGATATTTCTTGGACTTTAATATAGTATAAACCTCAAAATCCAATTTGAATTTGGGTTTTCTTGATTTGAATAAAATTTTGTTTTTTTAAGATTTAATAGCTCCTTCCTAGATTTTATTTGTAGATTGGATAAATTAGTTTAAATTTTTATATTGGCAAGCAAGCCTAACAGAATCTGGCACAGAGAAAATAATGTCTACTGAATTAAAAAAAAGTAAATATATTTATTGATATATATTGTCTTGATAAAATAAATAATTTGAGATTGAAAAGTTATTATTTTCAGTCTATCTATATCTTATGTATACTCCTGATTATCTTTTTTTTGTACTTTCTCCAGTTTCACTACCTTCATTACTATCTTATTTTTAAGACATATATTACATAGAGACAGGCTGGCTTTTGAAAGTCAGCAAATGTCAGTGTACCTAAGAGAAATCACATTACTTTCCCCCAAGTATGCTACATTTACCTATTTGTTAGTGACTCTGTTTTTTTATTAAATATTTTGTTAATTTATCTGACTAGAAATCAGGCTCCCATTAAACCCGTCTTACATATGAATTACAAATTTGGGGAATTTTATTCTTGAGATTTTCTAGAACTCTTTTGACAAATGCTTTTTATTTGCATATGTTTTGTATGCAGTTTATCTAAAATGTATTTGATCTATAAAAATGACATCTGCCTCAAAAATACAAGTAGCAATAGAGGATTAGAAAGTCTAATCATAAAGAAAAAAACAAAGAAATTGCCTCAATAAAAAGATTTAGAACTAATTATGTCATTGTTCCCTTTTTAACTCTTCTCTCAGGCTGGGGTTGTGGCTCAGAGGTAGAGTGCTCACCTACCATGCGTGATTCGATCCTCAACACCACATAAAATAAAGAAAAGATATTGTGCCCACCCATGACTAAAAAATAAATATATTAAAAAAAAAACAAAAAACAAACAACTGAAAACTGATTCTCCAGCTAGGCACAGTGCTGCATCCGTGTAATCCCAGCAGCGCCAGAGGCTGAGGCAGGAGGATTACGAGTTCAAGGCCAGCCTCAGAGACCTTGTCTGTAAATAAAATACAATAATGGCTGGGGATATGGCTCAGTGGTCAAGTGCCCCTGAGTTCAATCCGTGGTACCCACCCCCAGTCCCCAAAACACCTGATCCTCAGTAAAATGAGCTAAAATAAAGACCGATAAAAGATTACCTCCTTTCTGAATTTCACTCCATCGAAACTGATGCCGTCTCACAACAGAGAAAACAGAATCATATCCTTCCTCTCGAATCATTTCTGCAACTTTCTGAAGGTCCGTAGGATGTAAACACGGAGAAGTAGCTTGAATATTTCCTATGATATCAACCTCTTAAGAAGACAAAAGAAATGAAAAGGACATCAGAATAAAGTTCTGGCAAGCATGCAAACTAAGATCTTTAGTTCAGATGTTAAAACAAGTCTTGTGAGATGATAAGTTAGAAATTAAATAAAATTTTGAATAGTATCCAGACTCATACCATTGTGATAATTAAGAAATTCTATGATGGCATCTAGTGAGGTAGCACTGTCTTTTGACGCTTCAGAACTTCGTCGGTGAACTTGTGCACCAAATTGTTTGGCCACATTCTCAATTTCATCATGGTCTGTTGAAACCCACACACTGTTCAGATATTAAAAAAAAAAAATTAAATAGTAACATCAACAAAAAGAAATCACAAACAATAAAAAGGAGCTCTGCAATCCTAGAATACAATTTACACATTGTTAGAATTGTTTTTTGTACCATTAAAATGTTAAACATCCAGAGTAATATAAAGAATTATTAAGTATTTTGCATGTATATTATATCTGAAAAAAATTTTATACTAAATGTTTCCATTTATATCTCAAAAAATTTGTTTTATGTATTATATATTATTATCATTTTATGTATTATATATAATTATTATTTAGGTAATATAGTTCTATAAAACTAGATATACTAAGCAAAAAACCACTAGATGTCAAATCTAAAGAAATTAAAAGAAGATCCTGATTCTTATTCCCCAAATTCAAAATATTTTATGAAATATTTTAATAAACTTAAGAAAAACATGGCTTGGCTTAGCCAAGTCATAAAACTGAAAGTTTCAAGCTTAGAAGAGTATATACGCCCAATTATAGGCCCAAATCAGATAATTGAATTTTTCCCCCCTACTTTATCAATGAATCATTTCTGCAACAATGAGTAGGCAGAAGTTTGAACAAAGAATCAAGTTATAGCCATTGATAATAATAGGTTATGGGCCCTGGCTTGAGTGGCTCAGGAGAGTTTAACTCAACACTATTAATTACAACTTTCACAGTGGTATATTTAGACTTTATTAGGTAAAAACAAAGAATAAAAAATGTTATTTTGGGTAGGCACAGTGGCGCACACTTGTAATCCCAGTGGCTCGCTCAGGAGGCTAAGGGAGGAGGATCGCAAGTTCAAAGCCAACCTTAGCAATAGCAAAGTGCTAAGCAACTCAGTGAGATCCAGACTCTAAATAAAATACAAAAAAAAAGGGCGGGGGGGGTTGGGGATGTGGCTCAGTGGTGGAATACCCCTGAGTTCACTGCCTGGTAGTCCTTCAAACAAACAAACAAACAAACAAACAAATAAATGCTATTTTTGAGGATATAAACTAATCTGTACTTAAGTTGTTTTCTGCACCTTCACTGAGTCCCACTGCCAGAAAGAAAAATTGAATATTTTAATACTGACATTATGCCCAGATATTTCAATGGCTTATAGTCTTTGCCACATATGTACACATATATATTTTTTCTTTTATTCCATTCATATAGTTGTTACGAGGATTAAATATAAACCATTTGCCACAAAATAAACATTTAATAGATGGTAGTAATTAAAAACACTAAAACAGGAATGGTAATAAAGAAACATGGGCACTGTCTCATTTAATCTTCATACTGAAATCTATTGAAACCTGAAGTTCTACTTTCAAATCTTCAGAGGTCCAAATGCCTAATTTGTATGCATCATATAAGACAATGGCACTGTTAATATAAAAACAGCAATCCACATGCACACCTAAAAACACAACAATCATTGTGAAAGGGAATAAGTGAATAAACTTCCTTTGGTTTAGATAAAATGCACAAAGAGGAAAGAATAAACATGTGTGCCAATACGCCTAATAATATTAAAATCAAGTAAAGGGTCAAAGTCTAATGTCAATGGTTTTAGCCTTGAATGAAGGCATACTACATCAAACAGGGTGAACAGGAATATCAACTAAATTGAAAATTGTAAACTGCCATTTTAGGATAACATAGCATAGGCCTTTCATGAGTCATAAATCTACACCCTAGAAATGAAACTAAAATTTATTTTCACCAGTATGTTATGCAAGATTTTAAAGATCAATTTGTTCTGAGGTTTACTTACACACTACTGAATCACTGTTGAAAACCAAGTACTTAAAGAGTTAGTTCTAGAAATAATACTTCACTAAATGAAAAGAAAATTTTTATCTCAGCATTTTTCTTGACTGCTAAATATCCTAGCTACTATGCAAATTTAGCAACCCTAAAAATGTAATATTTTTAGTTTTGATTCTGAGCAGGGCCATAGAATTTGCCTCAATTAAGTCAATTATGGTTTTGAACAAAGTAATCTTCAAGGTGTCTTCTAGCCCTAAAACCACAAACCACATAGCTGTAATTTTCTTCAATTCCCTTCTAAGGTAAATATTTGTCAAAGGAAGAAAGAAATGGGTTGGAGGCAGGAAGTATGTGCCAAAGTCCTCCTGTAGTCATAGTAAGTCAATTAAATTAAATCAACACACTTTAATTGAGGATCTAAAGTAATAAAGCATATCAAGATAAATAAGACTGTACCTACTCATGACAAGTTTTTCATCTAATCTGCAGTGGTTTTTCCAGGCCCAAAATGGCCCACTCCTCAGGCTGGGTCTGTAACATTTTATTGAAATACAGTCACACTCATTCATTTATGTATACGTGTCCTCCTTTCACAACATAAAACCACAGAACTGAATAGTTGTAACAGACACCATCTGGCCTGCAAAGCCTAAAATATTTACTATCTGTTCCTTTATAGAAAGTTTGCTGAAAGTTGAAATACAGAATAAAAACATATTTCCATTAACTCTTCAAAGCCAAGGAATGTAAGCACCAGAATTTTGAAGATCATTACTAATGTTCCATTTTACAATCAAAGAAACTATAGTCCATGGAAGAGATCAAGACTGTAAAAATCTCCATTACAAGAGGAAAATGTAAATGTTAGATCACATACTATGGGCCTGTACATACATTAACTCACTTGTTCTCCTCAGCAAGCTTATGAGGTAGACATTTAAATCCATTTTGTGGATGAAGAGACTAGGGCATGTAAGCAAACACTACATGGTTAATATATGGTGAAGCTAGAATTCATATACATACAATATAACTCCAGGGTCTATGATCTTACCACTCTCAATACTGCTGGCACTAAATGAAGGAATAAACCATGTTGCTATGTATGAGAAGACAGACTTGATTATTTGGAGATCAGCAAAGCCTTCATGGTGGAAGTAGTCATAGTCCCTCCTGTTACCCCAAGTTAAACTTTCCAGGTCCCCAGAATGGAAGTCACACAGCAAGCAGCAATGAGAACCAAACAGAATAAAATCACATTATTACATGATATTGTGAGTTAGAGAAGGCAGTTAAAAATATATTCATTTTGCTAGTTACGGGAAAGATTGATTTCATTTCTTCTAATCACTAATATTGGTATGGAGACAGAAATGGCAGGTAACTCAAAGAAGTTGAAAAATGTTATCCCTATAGTCAAGGGGTTTATACTGTAGTCTACATGAATGAAGTGAAACTGATACAGAAGAAGTTGACAGGTAAGTCATTTTTTAATGGAATTCTGTACATATGCATTTTAATAACGAAAACAGGAAAATCATTGTTTAAAACAAACATGTGTTTTCTAATCCTTTCATAACAAATCTCCAGTGTACACTGTAATGGCTATTTTGTTGTATTTTGACTCCCAGAATCTATTCCCCTCACTTTTGCTAACTGGACTTAATTTTCCTATTAGACCTGTCATGTACTTCAGTGGGGATTCCATTGCTTCCCCAGAGTGGAAGACGCAATAAACAATACAAGAGTCTTGCGACGGTAACTGGTTCTAGTATAAGCAGAGGACCCAATGAGACCCAGTGAGAACTTTACTAAAGGTTTGAGGAAGAGCAATTTTTTCTGATAACACTTAAATCTAGAAGGCTTTCAGGAATACTGTCAAGGATAAAGAAAGCTGGTTACCAGTTTAAGTAGAGAGGACAGGTTGTACTCTATTTTAATAGGGGCAAGAATCCTGTGTAAACTGAACTCAAATTCCCAGAAAATATGAGCCTGGAGACTTTTTCAAAGGCTAGGGTTTGCTACATGAAAGGCGCTGAGAGTTGTTCAAGGGGATTAGTCCATGTAAAGGTTCACTTGCATTTATTAATTGGTGCTTATCTGGGGAAGAAGCAGATTTCTTTCTTTATAACAACTGACAACATTGCAAGTTGAAGAAAAGCATTCACCAAAGCCAGCCCTTATCTTTTCCACCGGGCCTGAGTTATCTTTCAGAATGTTTGCATTTGACCTTGGGGGAGGGATGCAGTTTGGGGTGGCAGAATTACATCTCAAAGGGCAGAGAAAGTTTCTACAATTGAAAGCTTTCTAAAGCAACTGTTTTAAGAGGGGGTTCAAAGGCTATCAGCCTATTACCAAGTTTTTCCAGGAATAAATAGTACATTGTGGCAGCATTAAACCTTCCCAGCAGGCATTTTATGGGGGGCTGGAATCATGCTAGAGACAAAGCCTTAAGCTGCTAGAAGCCATGATAGAGCTAAGACTCTTGGTGCAATGGTTTGGGAATAGTTTTGCAGTTGTCAGTACAATCACCTTGACCTCACAAAAGAGCAACTTATTGAGAATTTTGGTGATAGAGTGCACCATGCCCTTATCTTTTATTTCTCTTCAAATCATTGATGACCACCTGATACACTATATATTAATGTCTGCATATTGCTCATCCTTCCTTATTGTAAAACAAGCTCCATGCAATTAGATGAAACTGATAAGTGGGTTAACTCACTCCTAGCACGAGAAAGTCTGATTTTTACTATTTGTCTTACTCTCCAAATAATGAGGCAGTCTTGCCTACAGAGAATAAGGGAAAACATCAAAGAACAATATCAGTCATATGACCCACTGATCACTAATCTTTCTTGAAGTTTATAGGACCCAGGAATGCCTGGCAATTGAAACAACATCAAGCAAACTGACTACTGCAACTGACCATTCCAGAGTTCATCTGGCTATGGTGAAAGTGGCATTCCTTACAGGATAGAATTGGGGAGACAGACCTCCATCTTCCACCTGCCAACCTCTTAAGTTCTTTCTTCTTCCACTCTTGTCTCCTCAGGTATTGGCTTCATAGGGTGGCAGCAGAACCAGACTTTTCACAGTCATATAGGGACTGACCCTCCTGCTACTGCTATGACCCCTGCTTTAGGAACAGAACAGTGTCTGTCAAATAATAGATAGTTAATAAATATTTGCTGAATGGAAGAACCATTTTTTGACCTTTTTAATTTTTGTATCTGAAACAAGACTCACCCTTTTTTGTTAAATAATTTTCAAAGTGGTGTTTTGACATATGCAATCCATGTAAATGATAGTTTTATTCTCAATCTACTGTGTGATTTTGATCTCTAGTATTATAAATTTTACTCTTCCACTATGGTCTGGATGTACTCCCTTATCTTAGTACTTCTCACTTTGTACCCTTCCTAAAAAGGTAAAAACTGTCCAAAAGTCTGCACACTTCATAAGGACAACCACATTCCATTCATCTTGGTATTCCCTTGTATGCATGGCAGAAATGAGGGCTTAGTAAATGTTTACTGAATTGAACCAAACTCCAAGTTCTTCCCTATCTCTCCTTAGCACACTTCCTATACATTAGTGTTATCTTCTGAGCACCAGCTCCTATTTGTGTGGCTCCACCCAGAGCTTACTTTGGGTTAAAACATTAAGAAAATTATTAAATTTATGCTTTTTGGTATCTATCTCACTCATAAACGAAATTGGTTAAATGAAACACATCCATATAGTAATATGGGTAATTAATCATGGAAATTAATATGCTTCAAAAGCAGACATCTCCTTAAAAAGCAAAACAGCTAATTATTAAAATAATTTCATTTTCTCAGTAACAAATTCAAGTGTAATTAGATTGCATCTACTATGTGTAAATTCATTCTTGGTAAAGACTTTCATCTCTCTTCTTTGATGAATGACATCGGCTTGCAACAAATGACCAATTTGGCATGTGGCAACGTCTCAAAATGATGCACAAATAAAACTGTTCTTAAGGCAGACAAAGTTCAAGAGGTATAATAAAATCATTTACAAACATAAAACAGCCAGTTATATACCTTGCCACTGTCTCTCACATCCGTACAAATGTAAGGAGCTTTCTAGATTGTGCTGACTCACAAGCAGATAGCTGGTATTTTTCAAAGGTTAGGAAAGGATCTCCAAGCTGATCTTAAAACTAGGAAGCCCTGACATCGGACTCCACTCATGAACCTGATGCCTCCCTAAGAGGATCAGCATCAAGCAGTTATCAAGGCTGAGCAACAGGAGAGCCTCAAGGGCCTCTGTCAAAAGGAGCTCACACAGATGTTACACAAGGGGTTGGTCTCCTTTGCTTTTGCCAGTGAGGTCCACCCGGTTGGAGGTGACTGTTAGGTAGGGGAAATCTCCCCTTATAAAAGTACGACATTCTCAAGGGCGAGACAGGAACTGTTTCGGGTCATGGCTATTAGAAACTACGGAACAAGGAAGGCGCTGAAGCCCTTCCTCCGGAGCTCTCGGCCCGGGCCCAACACCCGGATCCTGCACGCCCCTCACAGGAGCGATCGCGCCCTCCAGGAGCAACGCCCCGGGAACCCCCTCCAGCAGCCCGTCTCCTCTCCCGACCCCAGCCCAGACCGCGCCTCCAGTCTCGCACAAGCGCACCTCTGGAAGACCCCCGAGTCCAGGGCCGCACGCAGGACCCAGCCAATGAGCGGGACCCCCGCCAGGTGCTTAATGTTCTTCAGGGGGATGCCTTTGCTGCCGCCCCGGGCCAGAATTAGGGCCGCCAAGTGCGGGGGCTTCTCTACACATCGGCCCTGGCCGCCGCGGGAGTTGCGCTGTAGCTTAGGCGGTCGGCCCCGGGACGACCGCCCCCGTGGATTGCAGACAGAGGTGGACCCCTTTTCCAAGGAGTCCATCTTCCTCCTACGCCTTCGCTCCAGCTTCTCCACATCCGGGAGCTAGTCCCCCGCCAACTCAGCTACGGCTCCGCCCGATCCCCGCCCGGCCGCTGGAGCTGGCGGCTGTGCCACGCCCACGCCCACGCCCACGCCCCTCGCGGTGCACGCCGGTTGTTGTAGTCCGAGCCTTCTGCCCGGTCTGGCAAGGCAATCTAGGCTTGCAGGTCTGGGAGTGCAGGGACCCTTGGGGAGGTGTGGTTTCTAGGATGCTTGATATTGTATGTATGTGTTGAAAATAGGCTAAATGGGTTATTGATTTCTTTTCTTTCTTTCTTTTTTTTTTTTTTTGCTAAAGAACTTCCACATTCAAGAACTGTAGTGGGTTGCTAATGCACACCCTGATGTATCCTAACACAAATGAATTTTATATTTTAAACATACGTCTTTCCCCTGTGCTTCTGACTCAGTTTTTCCCCCAGGAGATTACCTCATTCGAATGTCCTACCAGACACTTTAAAATCAACATTTTAAAAAGTCGGCCTTCCCCATAACTTAACTTCTCTGCTCTATCAACAACGTTATTACTGTTGCTAGTCAACTTTAGTGTTCTCTTCTAGTGTAGTACATACCTATTTCCTTTTTAGAAAAAAAATTTAATTTCTTGATTGCCAAAAATCTTTTCCTTTTAGGAATTGTTACCTCTCTCATATGGCTGAGTATAAACTCTTATTTTTTACATTGTAACAGTGGGTGTGTGACCCCATCTACCTGAATATAATTGTGCTCTAGGGGAACATACATATGACCAAGCAGAGCCTTTAAGAGTCCTTTCCAGAGATTCATGGAAAGAAAGGATCTGTCTCTTGCTAAATTTTGGGTGGCAAGGATCTTGTAAAGTGGCTACAAGGCTGGGAGTAAGGGTCGTTCCTCTTCTGAAAGGGCTGGGAGACTGATGTTCATACTGAAGAAAGCAGGACCAAGACATACAAGAAGAGCATTGTTCAAATTTCTTGCCTAGATGCAAGCAAGAGGTTTAAACACACACACACACACACATACACACACACTTTTTTTTTAAAAAAAAATAGATTTTAAAGAATGCTAACCTAACACATATCTTTTATTTTATCATTTTGAAAGCCTGTATTTGGAAGTAGAGAGTTTCCAGAAAGAATGGAAGGTAATGGATTGCCTTATCTTCTCGAAGGGGATAAAAGACCTGATTCTCAGACTTTGGCCCTTTATGAAAAGGAAAGAATAAGCCTTTGGTGTTGGGTCCTAGGAGAGGGGCACTGAACACTTCGCATCACTTTACCTGTGAAGTACTTCACGACTCAGTCCTTTCTGGAACTGGTTCTGGGAGAAGATGCTTTGGGCAGGTGAGGGACAGGTGTGAGCAGACACCAGTGCAGTGGCTGCAGAAGGGTGGCAGATTTTGGGAACCATCCCAGCACTTCAGGCCAACTGGGTAACTTGTCCTCACACACTGGCTCTTTCAGTAAGACTTTGCTGTTGCCAAGTTTCAGAGACACCATGGCTCTGAACTTTTGATAGTTGAGTGCGAAGGACACTTTCTGCTTTTTACATACCCAAACCACTTTCTCCTCTCCACCCCCCAAATGATCTTAGTTCCCATTAATAATTTAGTTGTCATTCTCCACATTCCCTAGAGGCCCAGAAATCCTATTGGGCCACTGACACCTGAAAAATTTACCTACTGGGAACAGAGCAAGAGGTGCTATCATTGCTTATCAAATGAAATTATAGCAATTTGCATGATGTCCCCAAACCATGGACTGCTTAAAGAAAGACTGCTTTTTCTTTGTAACTTTCTCATGGAGAACAATACCCCAGGTCATAGTATGTGCTCAGTAAACATTGGTGATCTGCATATCATTACTTTTCCAGTCTCTACTACACATACTTTCTTATATGGTATAACCTTGTGATGACAGAGCATTTGCTATTCTTTGTATAGTTAAAGAAAAGTTTTTGTTTCATCTGACAGTTGACTCAACCTTGAGTGTGTAAGGAGAGAAAGAGAAATTAGGTTTGTAAAATTGCAAGATGCTGAATCTAGTTCAATATATGGCACATAGAAGTTTGATAATTTTTTTCAAGTCAAATTAGAATATATTCATGATTTTTTAAAAATCTAAACAGAGAATGACCATGCCAGGAAGTGTTATTTTGTCTTTGTCTTTGAACTGCTTTGGAGGAATAAAATAAACTCCTCTCAAAGCAAGTATTCAGTCATCCTTCCTTTAAAGATGAGTGTGAAGTGTTGCTTCCCAATAATTCATTCATATTTGTAGTGAAGGAATATATCTATTGTACTTCTTGTTTTATGATTCCATATATGAACAAATTCAGTAGATGGAGGAGTCCATTTATTCATTTATTCACTCACATTTATTGCATTCCCCAAGCTAGGTTCTGTGCTGCACATTAGAAATACCAAACCAAGATGACCAAGACAGACAGCATGGCATTCTGATGGGGAATGGGAAAACCACAGTACAACGTATGCATTTGTGTTGTGATGGAGGCATGAATTTTCAGGTAGGAAAGTACAGGGGAGAAACATTTAGGCTAGAATAAGATTTTTGTTGGTGAGATGATTTTGCAAGGCTGTTAAAGTATAAGAATGTTATAGGCTGAGAAAACAACCCTGTGGAAGGTACCAAGGAATAAAACCAGTGTGACAAATAGAGAAACTTGAAGGAAGTCACCTTGATTGAAGGAAAAACACTGGTTGGCTAGTGGCAAAAGATGAGAATAGAGAGAAAATTTGTGGGCCAGATTATTGAACACAAAGATCTTATGATTCTTGGTTTTTGACCAGGGAAATAACAAATGACAGGGATATGCCATGATTTATTTATTCTTTCAACAAATGTTATTGCATGGCTACTGTGTGTCTGGTACTTTTATGGACACTGTAAATACATTGAAAGTAATGAAAAGTGTTCAAATTTATTTTCAAGGATTTATCTTCAAGTGTAGCTAAGAGGATTTTCTGATGGACCAAATGAGAGATAGGAGAGACAGAGGGATGGGGTGGTGCTAGTATTTTTGGTCTGAATATTGCTATTGAAAAAGTCAAGAGGACCAAATTTTGGAAGTATAATTAGAGATTCTGTTTTGTAGATGTTATGTGTGGGCCACCTATTAGGCATCTGAAGGGATATAAAGATGGTCTATTGACTATATTGACTTGGGGTTCACTGGAGGGGTTTAAATATAAATATAACTTTGGAGGCTTCATCATGTAGATGTTATTCAAAATCATAGTTGAGATTGGGATAAATAGAAGAGAAACTAGAGATCAGCTGAAAAAGTTGATGAAGAAGATAAGAAGTCCAAAGACTGAGCCCCAAGGATCTCAACCATATAGAGTTTTAAGGATATTAGAAGACAGAAAAAGAGATGGGAGACAATGAAAATCAGAAAGGAAACCAGTATTGTAGCCTAAAATCAAAGTGTTGGAAGGAGGCAAAATTGACCAATTATATCAAATGTTCTGATTATCATGTGAGAAAAAGGATACATTGTCATAGTTGTTGCATTTAGGAAAGTATGTCACTGGTGATCTCAAGAAAAGTGGCTCCACTAGCTTGGTGGTGGTAAAAACCTGAGCGGAGGGGGAGTGGGAGAGGGAAGGTGGAGCTCCTAAGTGTAGACAACTAATGAGTTTTGGTTTAAAAAAAAATTAAAAAGGAAAGGGAAAGTTTTAAGTAGGGGTCAAAAGAGTTTTAAATTTTTATTTTTATTAGTGTGTTATAGTTTTGCACAATTGTGGGATTCATTGTGATATATTCATAAATGCAATATAACATAAATTGCTCCCTTTCAATCCCCAGTACTAATCCCTTCCCTTCTTCTATCCCTCCCTGTTATCCCCTTTTTTGACTCTACTAATCTTTCTTCTACTTTCTAAAAAAATTGTGCATTATAGTTACACATAAAAGTGGAATTCATTGCAATGTATTCATACATGCACATAGCATAATTTGGTCAGTTTCATTTTGCAGTTCCTCCCCTTTCTCATCCCTCCTCCCTCCTTTTTGATTCCCTGTTTTTTTTTTTTTTTTTGGTTGTTGTTGTTGTTTGTTTTGTTTTTGAGTTAGGGACTAATACTATATTTGCATGTTGATAAAAATAATCCAGTAAAGAGGGGAACATTGATAACACAAAGAGATTAGGGAGAATTACTGAACCAATTTCCTTGATTATACCATAGGGGATGTGATCTAATTCTAGGTGGAAGGACTGTCTTTGGCCAGCAGGAGAAGAGAAGATGAACTTTACGGGCAGCTCTGGAACTGGCCTCTGAATGATTGGATTAAAGGCTTCCAAATTCAGAAAAAGATCTGCTTAACCCTGAAAAAAAATAATAATTTTGGATAAGATCTTGCAATGTGCTGAATTAAAAATGCTCACCACTTTCATGATGTTAAGAGAGAATGGCCGTTTTCTGGAAGGATCTAATCATATTCACAGTTATTCATTGGGAACTTGTGTGCCACTGAGTTTTAGCATGCATTTTCTCATTACATCACTGTATGAAAGCTGAACCAGTGGACATCATCCTAAACTGCAGATAAGAAAACTAAATCTTACTCGGAAATGTTTAACTCCTTTCCAAAGTCCCATAGCTGGAAAGTGATCAAGATGAGATTGGAGCATGCAGAGTCTTGAACTCTCAAGTTGTGTTCTAAACTCCTAGGCAGTGAGAATCAGTCCTGAATGATTTAGTAATTTGATAAGGAGAGTAAGAGTAATTCACAGAGGTATCTATCCAGAGTCAGAATAGATAGGATCTAGCAAAAGATGTCTCTACACCATGTTCTCTTCTCTTGGAGAGATGGGGTTCTTGGGAAAGATGGTAGAAAAGGTATGGAAATTGCGAGGATGTAGGGGGTTAGAATAAAATGGAAACTAGTGCTGATAGCATCAGGCACCCTCCCAAATGACTTCCTAAAAGAGGGCCCAGGGAGAATTTCACTGTTCATTGCACACCAGCCAGCCTAAGGCTGTAATAGGACAGGAAGGAAGTGTTGCAATTGTAAGTAGAGATGCAGGAATGTAGCCA